TATATATATATATATATAACTATAGATCAACCAATTACATTGACTGCATTTAGCGGATTTAACAGTTGAGTGAGCGCTCATTTACTTGTATTTGATTGATCTATATTTTTAGATCTAACGAAATATACCAATTAGATGCAAGAGCTCACTGAGCTCAGTGTTTAAGCTTTAATTGCATTAACACGCATAATTATGAAACTGGCCAATCACAGTCGTTCCATTCTTTCAAGGAACAGATATGATTAATCAATTTCATATCTACAAATATTGGGTGCTAATAATAGATGCTTTTCATTTGATGATACAATTCGACACACAAGTGTCATTCTATCTTTGTTAACATTCAAAAAGTGACCAGATAGAATGACACTTGTGTTAACTTATGTCGATTTGTGTCAAATGGAAAGCGTCTATTATTAAACCCGATTAAGTGTGCTGTAACAGAGTCTATGATATGGTTTATGGTTTATGGCGGTTCTCTCGTGATGGCTTTAGGAACGCACACGTTCGACACCATCATCAAAATTTCGGCATATCGAGGATTGCGCTGGAGATGCTGTCGATAGCAGGATCGTAATAAAAAGGAGGAAGGAGAGAGAAAGACAGAGAGAGAAAAAGAGGAAAAAAAGAAAAGAAAACAAAAGTGCCGCTCTTACACTTTAGAATTGGTTCCTTCGACTTTACGCGGATTTGGCTTCCGCGTATACTCGTGTCACCGGGCATTCCGGTTTGTTTTTCCTTTCTTTTTTTCGTTGCAAGACACGCGCCACTCGGCACCCCTTCCGGAATCATATTTTGGGGTCGTACGTTCGATCACCGTCGTCATCATCGTCTAACCGGCTGTGAAAGGACTCTGCAATCATGGCTAGTGTATCCTATCAAATAGCGAATTTATTGGAAAAGGTAATGAACGGCATTGGCATTGTACTAATAGCTACATCGAAAAAATGTCCTGTTCGTAAAATCTTATTCTACCATGGTATCTTTTTTTTGTGACATAACCTCGAATTCATCCCTTACCCCACCAAAGAATGATTAGTCGTTAATCTTTACAGGAATAAGGAGAATCGCGAAACGTTATATCATTCTCAAAATCAATCATATTTTACATTCGATCGAATGTTAAACATGTATGTTTTCTTAAAGCAAAATTTTCGAAAAAAGCTCATTGACCCTTTAAAGTTTAAAATGGTCTATGACTATTAGAAAAATAGGGAATATAATACATATATGTACTGATTTTGAAGTACATTTCTGTTTATATATTTAGTTCTAATCAAAGTGTAGTTTCTTTTGTTTGTTTAAATAGGCAGGATTATGTTTTCACACCTGACAACAGGACAATGGTCTTAATATTATGTTACAATAAGAAATCAGCAATACAAAATCTGTTTTATAATTGAACTTCTTGCATTCATCTTTCCTCCTTTTCTCTCCATGTTAGAGAAAAATGATAGATAAGAAAGATGAAAAGTTCAGCTAATACGAATGTTTTTATCATGTGCTATATAATATTTACATAAAAGCATTTTAATCATCCATCAACTGATAAAATATACTATTTTTAATTCTATTCAAGTTTCTTTTGTTTGAATAGGAAGATTATTTTATCTTCATTCTGGCTGTAGAACATAATGTTATGTTATAATAAGCAATTATGTGCTATAAAATCTTACGATCAAAATGAAAGCATTCTAATTTTTCCATCAATTAATGTAACATATAAAAAAAACTTTTTGACTGATTTCGTCGACAACACAAATATATTGCATGTATGAATATATATTTGTTTACATGTAGAACAATCTGTTTCGAAAGCTTATATGTTTATCTTTAATTATATTAATTAACTAGATGAGTCTGATTTTTCGATGCATTATTAAACTGATATTTCTAATTTTGCAATTAAATGTATCATGTGTTTTCATTATACTTATTACACTCCTTGTTTCTTGTTTTTGTAATATGATAGCATTTGTACTCTCTTTACAGATGACATCTAGTGATAAGGATTTCAGATTTATGGCAACTAATGATTTGATGAGTGAATTGCAGAAGGACAGCATTAAACTGGATGATGATTCTGAGCGCAAAGTTGTAAAAATGCTTCTTAAGTTATTGGAAGACAAAAACGGAGAAGTGCAGAATCTTGCTGTAAAATGGTACTTTCTTTTTGTCTAGATACTTGCCAAAATAATTCTTAATACATTTTTAATATATATATGTATAGATATATAAAAAAAAGAGATACAAAATTTTATATGTATATATACATATAAAATTCTATATATCTTTTTCTTACTTCAAAAGTGACACAACCCAAAAAAAAATTTTTTTAATTTTCTGGAAAAAAAGAAAATTTTTTCGATTTGATAGAAAATTATTGTCCATTCAGATAATATTGGCAAAAATAGTAGTGCATTTATAATGATAAAATGATATTTTTGCCATTTTTGTTTTTTCACAATCATTAGAAAATCATCTTTTTTAAGTTGATTTAATGATTTTTAAAATCATTCTTTCCAAGTTGATTTTAACAATTTTTTTAGTTTAATTTTTAATGATTGAATTTTGAATGATTGGCTAACATTTATTTAATTAATTCATAATAATAACTCGAAAATTAAAGTTTTTTTTTTAATCATGTCACTTTCGAAATAAAGAAGCGATGCATTAATTTTCTATCTTTTATATTTGATTTCTTTATCTAATAATAGCAATATAAATTATTAAAGCAAGTTTTATAAATTATTAAATTATTATATGAAAAAGAGAAAAAAAGATCAAAGCGTACAGAGTAACACATCTTTATCTTGTTGTAAGAGATTCTTTATCTAATTTTACAATTGTAAAATGTGTACAATTTTAGTTTGGGCCCGTTAGTCAATAAAGTAAAAGATTACCAGGTGGAAACTATTGTGGATGCTTTATGTACCAATATGGTTTCGGACAAGGAGCAGCTACGCGATATTTCCAGCATTGGCTTGAAAACTGTTATTTCCGAGCTTCCTGTGGGTTCTAGTGCATTAGTTGCAAATGTTTGTAGACGCGTTACAAACAAATTAAGCAGTGCTATTGAAAAGGTAAATGATCTTTGTCTAACTTTTCACTGCAAAATTTAATATTTCTGATTGATAATATATATGTGTGACATATGTAATACATTTTCAGCAAGAAGATGTATCCGTACAATTA